TACACCGTAATTCTATCCAAGGAGCATCAATATGTTACTAGCAATGAATTTAAAAAAAAATGATAATCACCTTACCGGTATGGCGATCGGGGAGAAAAAAAAATTTCAAGTGGAATTTCGTGTTCGATGTCAAAACGTACTCATAAAGCACCATTTCGCTTACGTAGGAAACTAATCCGATCTTCTCTCTTTTATAATAATAATTATAATAATATGAATAAATATCTCTCAAAATAATAATGTGACGAATATATTAATAACATAAGGAAAGATATTTTTGTGAATAGTTCTTCGTACGTTCTCGAAGATCTTAAAAAGAGGTCAAAGTAATGGTTCTAATCAAGGTCGTTTCTACGAGGATTGCGGATGGTCCTTGACGTAATCATAAGGATAGAGAAATGCGTAATAACGGAGCATTTACAGAGGCAAGCACGGCGATTTCATTGTCCCTGCGGTTTAGCAATTTACGGACCATTACGGACGAGTCCTACAGGCTATACCAGGCATGAGATAGCCACGTCGTACCATCCATTATTCATCACCCACTTCTCTCTCTCTCTCTCTCTCTCTCTCTCTCTCTCTCTCTTATTCTCTCTTCCCTTTTGCTTATATACGTTCTTCCACGTCGTCTCGTTTCTCCCAACTTGCCGCATCCCTTCGTCTCGAGTACTCCTCTCTCTTTCCTCTCTTATATTCCTCCTTTAAATCCTGTCTCCCAGAGCCCACAGATTTTTACCGTTAGCGTATTTTTTAATTACGCGCCAGTGCCGGTACGTTTATTCGCCGTTAAAATCTCACCGGCGAACGTTTACTACTTATTTTCTTTTTTCCTTTTACTTTCGTTCTTTCTCTTTCCTAAAAAAAAAAACAAAAAAAAAGAAAGAAAATAAGAATTAACACAGAAAGCTTAGCAATAAAAGCACAAACAGAAGTAGAAATTTCGGTGATCATAATTTTGTCTTTTAATGGCCAATTCGATACGACTCTTTCATTTAATTACAAAGTTTCTTTATGCGAACCGAGATTTACTTTCTTATACACTCTTTTCATAATTCTTTTTTTTTTATATATGTATAATATATCATACGAACGAGTGAACGAATAAGCAAGGTATTTCATAGATTAGTTCTGGATTCAATGGTCCGCACATTCGTTCCTTTGAATTCTCTCCCCGTGAGTGAATGGTCGCGGCAAAAAGCGAAAAAAACAAAAAAAAAAGAATTTTATTTGCGAGAGAGCGTATATAAGGCGAACGCCATATGTTTAAAAGGCAAGCGTGCTTCTTATGTCCCGAAGATAAATATCTCATGGGTATCCATGGGGAAGGCAGTTGGTAAGCACAGGTTCATCGGGCATTCTATGGATACAGTTTACATTATTTCATCCGATAGATGCTCTTTTCGGATATCTTCTGCAAATATTCTTTCTTCGTCTTGTATCGATATTCAAGAAAATGTTTCCTTCCTGCACCATCTCGAACTCGTAAATATTTCACTTTGTTTATTTATCAAATAATGCTTTTACGAAGGAGAAGGATATAAAGCCGCGTGCTGGAATCGTTCGTTTTATATTCAATTGAAAACATTGTCTTATACTTTTTCAATAAATATTATAATAATTTGCAAATTATTTCAATTACGTTTAAATAAAAAAGAATAATTTAGAAAATTATTTTATTATTATGTTTACCCCCCGCCCCTTTTTTTATGTTCAATAAAAATAATAATAATTATAATAATAATGGTATTTTTAATAAATCCATATGATAATAGTCTTGGTTTCGTATCTTACGGAAACCTCTCAAGAGATTAGATATTTCCGCATGAAGATAACCCCTTCAGTCTTGGGGGAATCCGAAAGGAAATAGAGGATTAATATTAGTTCGAAGAATTACAAACGATGCGTTGTGCGTAGAAGATATATAGATTTTCTTTTTGCGAAAGATAAAAAATACTTTGAAAAAGCTTGTATTAGTATAAATTTGTAGCAGAAATATCTTATCGACGCTTTATCTAAATGATCTCTACGAGTAAGGCTATCTTAAAATTCATTCCTTCTTAAGATTATTCCTCCAACGTATTTCCTTATGTTGAGACTAGATTGGAAAATGCCGCATAAAGAGAAGCACGAGAAGCTTCGCGAGTTTCTTGCCATTCCCTACTTGTTCCAACGTTCATTGCAACACTTTCTTGAGCTATTACAGCATAGAATGCATGATCGAAATGAATGAAATTTCAGACTTGCAATTAACTCTTAGGAGTCTCGTGTCGCGTCTTCACTTGACATCTACAATAGTTCCATTTATGTAATAACAACTTTTTTATTTTTACACAAATGATGAAAAGTATCAAATAATCCCAATGAAAAAAAATTCATCAAATTGAATATTTAAATTAAATCCAATAAAAATATTAGCGCATTTGCAATCGTTAAATACATTTATTCCGTTAATCGTACTCTATAACAAGAGTAACCATTTTGTCAACTTTCTAACTTCCACAGTATCCATCCTTTGAACTTAAAAACCTGAAAGTGGAGATAAATGTAGAATGTAAAAAACAAAACATAAAAGATTATCGACGATTAGCGATTAGTTTTCTAAAAGGGTATCGATGACGATTAAATTGAATTTAGGATTAATAGTATATAGTTTTGTTCAAGGGACGACCTTGAAAGACGAGGACGATAAAGAGGGGCAGGTTGGACAAGATGGTCTTGGAATACTGAAAGAGAAGGGGCGGGGTCGTTCTAAAGGAGTATCGTCGTTCACACAAAGAGAAGTCACTCCCCTTTCTTCTCCGGTCCTCCCTGCTTTCGGCCCTTCTTCCTTTTCGGCTTCCCTCGATCTTCTATCCCTTCGGCCAACCGTTCCGAAAAAGATCAAGACTCCATAGAAGGGCTCGGTTTCTTGAGTGAATAAGTAAGTGAGTAAGTAAAAGAGAGAAAGGGGGAGAGAAAGAGAGAGAGAGAGAGAGAGAGAGAGAGAGAGAGAGAAAGAGTGACCTAAATTCAACGCGGCCGTTTTCTAATAAAGTTATTTTTCATTCTTTCCATTGTATTAAGGAGCCGTCAGTCGTAAGTTCCTTCTCGCTTTTGGTTCCCCCTTTTTCGATGCCCCTTCGTTTATTGTCTTTCGAAGGGCTCCGAGACTTCGAACTAAGGGAAAGGGCGAATTTCTTCCTTTTGATAGAGAAAGAAAGAAAAAAAAAATATGACCGAGAAAGATAGAGAAAGAGATTCACCCTATGGGCCGTCGCTTCGCAGCTGATGCTCTTCTTCTTTTAATACGAATGGCATAATTGCGATCCTCGCGTGGGGATTACGTATAATTGTGCAGCCGAGAGCGATGCGATCGATAGCAAAGATCTCGCGTATTTTCCTACCACAATGGAAACCAACAACCACTATTCTTTCGCTATCTTTACTTATTCCTTTTCTTTCTTTGGGTAAGGATAATAAATGGTATTGTCGAGGGAATCGTTTTCACATTCGCCTTGAACCTATATACCTGCGTTACCATCGAAAAGGTTCTTGTTTTTTGCCATAGAAAATGGCCACGAGAATGGAGTAGAAGTATTGGTATTGTCGTCGATTAAAAACGAATCTGGTTTTGTTGGATAGTTTTCTTTTTATTTTTTTTTTTTTCTACAATTTCAAAGCTAAATTAAGTTATTGTATATTAATTAAATATTAATAAGAAATATTAATATTTACTTATATTATTATATTATTATTTTCGAGGAATACAATTCTATTACGGTGAAAGGTTTTTAGTAAGAATTATATGCGAAATTGGATATGAATATAAGAGATGAATTTTTGTATAAAACCGATAAATGGTGATATTATAATTGTATATTTTAGAAATGTGTTTTATTGAAAAGGAAATGAAATTGTTATTACTCGTTTTGCTGAAGCAACGTTCGAAGAATCTCGTTCTCGTAGCAACAACAATACCTATTGCATGCATTTCCGCATGACTTAGAATTCGCACTGCGTTACGGAGTAGGTAGTATAGGCAGATATTTGCAATTCAAACGTTCGCCATGTATAATACGCATAAATCGACAAGTCTAACGGATATAGATAGGAGGTAAAGGAGAAAAGAGAAAGAGAAAACATGGCCGACGGAGATGGAAAGAAAAGTAAGAGCGACTGGACCGGGAAAAAGGTACATATATATGAAACGTGCATCGATCGTTATTCGATACCATTGTTCGCGCGCGCACTTTGGCTTTCGTGACGGTAAACCTCGCGTGTTTCATTCGAATAAATTTGAGGGACTTCCGTCAGAAGGGAAAAATGAAAAACGAGCAGAAGAAGAAGAAGGTCGACTCGGTCGATGATCAAGAAACTTACTCTAACAAACAAATATTTTTCTTTTCTGTTTTCGAAATAATTCTTAGAATATTAAATCAATTAAATGAATTACAAACGATTTCATACGTTTCAACGGTAGAGATAATCGCGAGTTACTAATAAACGAGTTTACTTTTTGTGTACCATTAGACGCAGAGTTTTTTTCTTTCATTTTGAAAAAACACTCACGTACGTCACCGAGCTTCAATTAACAAACTTCTTTCAATGCTCCCATTCAGGGACACTATCACCTATTCTTCGGGAATTCAAGTTTTTTTTCATCTTTTCAAAGCACTGAGAGAAAAAAAGCAAGTTAATCGGTCGTTCACCATAAGAGGTCGCTATGACACGCGAAGGAAGAACAAATATGGCACCGTTAGCACGCTCGTCTGCCGGGACTCCCTCTTGAAATCTTAATGTTGCAATAGCCAAGCCACAAAGACAATCAGTGTATTCGTTAAACAGAAAATCATTGTATTACTTGGAATCAATCGTTCCTTATTTGAAATTCTATATCGCGACATTAACGTATCATTTCAACTAAGTAAATAGAAATTGCATACTATTTCATTTAATTACATTTGATTATGATATATATGAAGTTATTATTCAATTTATAAAGAACATTTTTCTTATTTCAGATTACGCAATTGCTTCTCGAAGAAGAGGACAACGATCTAAGAGAACAATAAAGGAAAAACAAGATGGATAACTTAAAATCAAGGTAAGAAGTTGATGTTACTTAAGAAAATGGCTTAAAGCGTAGGTGTTTAATACGAATAAAACAATGTTTAAAAATTAGAAGTCGCGTTAGAAATAGGGTGGATATTTACTACTTATAAACGAATGAGTAGCTTATTCTCTCGCTGTGTTCGCATCAATGAGGATCCTCGAGCGATAGCTTACCCACACCTTACCATTAGCTTTAAGTGTTTATGGGCTCATTCATTTCGTTTTATGTTTCAATTTGGACGCATTGATACTTGTTTGTTTACATGTAAACTACCACTCACTCATCCAGGACTCTTTCAGTTACTCCTAACCGGCTGTTATTATTCCCCATTGTCGTCACGAAACTGCATTCTACTTTCTCTCTCTCTCTCTCTCTTTCTTCCCCTGCCACACTCTCTTTCTCATTCTACTATTTCTCTTTTTCCTATCGGTCTACGTCTTGCATTGTGTATTGATTACTGAATAGGCGGTTACTTTATAATCGTATCTCCGTTATTAATACACTTGTAAGAAGCTCGCTCATACGTATTTGTTCTATTCAAAGTATTATAACACTTTAACCGATTTTATCTTTAAAAAAGATTCATTAATATCTATTTATCGTCCTTGATATCGTTTTATTTACTTAACTTGTACACGATCGCGTAATAAATCGAAAAGGACAAATACTCATTCAATTACGAATACCAAGTTTCGATAGCGATCGGTAATCTCAATCATTCTCAAGCAGACTTTTACTTTACAAGAAACAATTTCAATTGCAATCTTGTTTTCACCAATAATTTTCAAACCTTCCCAAAATGTATTTTTTTTTGTCTACGAACGGCAGCTGCTGCATCGACTGTTTTTTGTGTGAACGGCTTTTTAAGTAGCGACAGAGACCAGATCGACCACCGGACGAGTCACTCGACCGGTAAGGTAGGCCACTGTCAGTGTTTAATAAATTTTAAACTTACGTTAGATTGAATTTATCTGCGATTACGCGCAATATCAGAACGTGTTACGAGTTTGATACTCTCCTTTCAGTCCCTTGAATGGTCATCTTCATTTTATTTACCCTCATTACGTTACTTTTCATTACTTTTTCTTTTGTTCAATCTTTAGAATTATTCGTAAGATAAAAATTTAAGAGCAGCGAACATCGATTTACTTTGTTCTTACAGTTGTCTTTTCTCCACATATTTTTAGTTTTATCAGATGTTCATACGATATTATTTGACTTTACGAGTACAGGTGCGTTCGCTCCTTTAAAAGAGAATCAACGACACCGATAGCTTTCTCGTTTTCTTTTTCTCTTTAGAAACAAAAAAAGAAAGAAAAAGAGAAACATCGGTTCATATCTTTCGCAAATTTCGAATCTGTTCGCAACGAATCGAAACATTATTTTCGTGGAGGAGTCAAAAAGGATATCTTTGGAGATATCGTAAGCGATAATTGACACTCCTTTTTCCAAGGATGTCGCCGTGCTATCGACTGCGAGAATGGTAGGGAGCTGCAAACGTCATTTTGCAGCCAGGTGATGCAACACGTGACCGCCAGATGGCAAAGAGGACATCTTCCTGTCCTTGTGTCGCGCGTCCCGTTGCAATTTTCTAGGATCGATAGAATGATCTTTGTTTTTTTTAATTGTTGAAATTTAATTTTATTGTTATTTACGTTATGCAGACTTATGTTGACTTTAAAAACGATAAAAAATTAGTTAAACGAAATATACATCCCTTAATTTCATGATCTTTGTTTTGAACTTATTGACCTCTTAAATTGTATTTTAGCATTAGAAACTAAAGAAAATTTCAAATTATGTATTAAATTATTCACTTTTTTGCATAAATTAAAAGAACCTATCTAAAACAACAATAAATAAATGCTATTCAATTTAAATTTATTCAATTTTAGATCATCGAAAGCTAGATAACTTTCTGCATAACTAGGCCTAAATTTTTCTATTAATATCATTACTTTCAACATTTTAAAAAGGATTAAGTTTTTTTTAAAATCCCATACAATGTTTTCCTCATTAGTGAAGAATCTTATAACTTACAACTGATCTTAAGAAAGCTAATGAATAATACTATTGTACCATGTATTGAAAAAAATGTAATCAATGTCCGGATAAATACCTTTTAAATTATTTTTTAGTAGACCGCTCTTAAGTCGTAGAAAATCGATCATTTTAAAGAAATTGTCACGGCAATCTAGAAAGCAGCAAAAAATTCTATCATGAGTTTCAATTAGTTCATAATATAATTTTTTTCCTATCACACGTAACAAGAAAGTTTTTATAACAATCTATATTAATGAAGTTGTATGTAACAACCGTAAACATAAAAAGTGAGACATTCGTTGCCTCGTAATGATAAAAGAAGACAAAAATACAAATTAATAGCATCCATTCATCGTTTAAAAATAAGATCTTAGCGTTAATCAATAGGATAAAATAATACAAAAAATTGTGTAATATATGTATGAGCTGTTTTTATATTATTTTTTATACAATACTTCATATCATTACCTAAATCAAAAAATGTATTAATAAGATATCATTAAATCAAGATTCTCAAAGTTATAAACGAAATGTGGATATCATTGTAAAAGATAATTATTATCAATATTTTATTTGTACAGAGATAAATATATTATAGTAGGAAAAAGTAATAACAATGTCAATCGGTAAACAATAAAAGTAATTATGAAATAACGGTTGAGAATTAATAATAATTTAATGAATGCCAACAAGTATTCAGTCACTAGTAATTAAACCAAGTATTTGATGAATAAATATTTAATGACAATATGTCACTATCTAAAGGACCATTTAGAAGAAATTTATGATAGATGGTTATAAAAGAGGTCATAAACGGATGATCATAAATATACAATAGTTATTTTAGATGCATTTTACTAAATTTTCTAAACATTTACATCACAAAAGTTTGTTCTAATAGTATCATGCTAGCATTCGTTGAACAAGTGTTGAACAGGTATTCGAATATTCTCTTAAGAAATCCAAATATCGGAAGAATAGTAAGGACCATGACACCAAGATGGTTCTTCGTCCATTCTTCGACTGCTTTTTGTCTGGATCAAAAACTTGAAAATCGATTTAAACGAGAAAAGAAGCTCGACGGACGTATCCGAAGAAAGGAGATCATCGATAACGTATACTTTTGAAGAAAATATAAAGTGTGGATCGGCGCATTGGAACCGCCCAGACAGGCACGCCATTCTCGTCCAAGTGGCCCAAGTAAGTATATGTGTATATCACAGGTTGATCCCCTGAAGAGTTTCAAGGTAGACAGCAGCGTGCGCGCGAACGAGTAACGATGGTGGAGAAACGCGCTTATCTGAAATTCCGGCCCAGCTTCATAATCGAATATTCATCCCTGATCTCCCTTGGGAAGAGGAGAGAACTTTAAGAAGGGTGAAGGGAAAAAAGGGAAAGAAGAGAAACGAAGAATCGAGAAGAGATGAAAGAGGACAGAGAGAGGGGGGGGGAAAGAAAGAAAAAAAGGAAAGAAAGAGAGCAACCAAAATGAGAGTCCGAACGAGCGGTACATTGAACCGACTCCGAAAAGAGCCGAAGCTAAAGCCGACGAAGCGGACCGATGAAGAATGAACGCTGGTTTAGCGAGAGTGCAGATTTCTTCGATGAGAGAGAGCGAAAAAGAGAGAGAGAAAGAAAGAGTGCAATAACCTCTTTCTCGCTTTCGTCTCCTCTTATTCTTCTTCTTATTCTTCTTATTCTTATTCTTATTCTTCTTCGTCTTCTTCTTCTTCTCCTTATTCTTTTTCTTCTCGTCAGTCGTTACTATAGCTACGCCCTCTAATTTCAAGCCACCCCTTCGTCCCCTCATGAAAACCTTTCCAAGAGCTTCCTCATAGTTTTATTCGAGAACCCTCGAGGGAAAAGAACGTCCATCGAGCGTTCTTCTCCGCCATGGTACTCCTGCAAAGATATTCGCGACTTTCATCTTACTTTCTTTCTTTTTCTTGTAAATGTTCTTAAGCTTTGGCCCCCCCCCCTCCCACTCTTAAACGACTTAATTACACGATCGCATTCGGTTATAAAAGTCATTTTGAAAATGTAAAATTTTCGATTGGTTCCGCTCTCATCATCGTCATCGTCGTCATGACGAAGTCGTAGAATGAACGACGAAAGGGTAAGATATATTTTCGAGCTGACCGGCGTGCCGCACCACCGCACCGTCCGGTTCTGTAAGAATGCGGTCTCGACATTAAGTAAACCCCTTTAGTGGTCGGCCGGTTATCTTCGATGGCGCTTTAAAAGAGGCATTTAGGCCCATTTTGGCTACCCATAGAGTACCGCAACGGCACCGGCACCGGCACCCTGGCTTTCTCCCTCTTCGGAGGCACGGCTTCACGCCCCCACCATAACGGACACGCGCGCCCTACCATCGCTGCGAGGCTCAAAGGCCCTGACTTTTACGATTCTGTTCAAGTGGTCGTAAAACTCGAGTTTATTGCCGTCATGATTTTCAAGCAAACGGCCTGCCACCTGTCGGAGCTCGACAAAAGCGTAGAACGCATGGAGCCTCTTCATTGAAGAGATCAACAAACCATGCACCATCTCGACGACCTCGTGAACCTTATCTCGAAGTGCATCAGGATTTGCTCGACTGATTTCCTTCGCCATCTCTACGGATCTGAAACAATCTAGAAACTCGACTATAACGATTAGAACTTATCAAATTTCATAAAATCTCTTAAATATATGAAATGGAAAAGAAAATAAACAGAAGAAGCTATGTTCAATCACGAAAACAGGTGGATGATAGACCCTAAACATTCATAATGGCAAGTGAGAGGCAAGAGCCGAGAGCGAGAAAATAGCCTCAGCCGGCCCCGGAGAGAACGGCTTATGATGGGCATTACTCGCCTCGTTACTGAATAATTTACGAGGTGCGAAACGTGGGGGCGATAATCCAGCGACATTTACATCCCAATAAACACTCTTGATACTGACGTGGCACGTGCGCCTGCTACGGAGCGCCCCACGGATCTCGTCCCATGCGATGCCCGACCTTTACGACGTTTTAATTGTGCGGCCGTTGTCTAATTGGTTCGTAAAGCACCGAAATGCCTCGTAAAAGGCGTTTACGATAACATTCCCGGCCATTTCCTCCGATCTGTAGACTCCCGACCGGTTGGTAGCTGGAATTGTAACGTGCCTTTTTCTTATTTGCCTTTCCTCCCCCTCTCTAACTCTTATGTTATTTTTTTTTATTTGATATTCGGATCATCGATCGAATGATCTATTCGAAAAGGAAAAAATCGTATCGTTCGTGTCGATAATCTCGAAGATAGAAGCCGTCGATGTTCGTCGTTTGGATGTCTGGATGAATCTGCTAGTGTTAGTTCGTTTCGATACTCAGAGGTGGCGGTACGCGTATCCCACTAACGGGAAGCGTGAGTTAAAAAGAGATGGTGGTAGAGGGGAAAAGCAAAAGACTAACTGAGTGTGAGAGAGCGAGAGAGAGAAGAGAGAAACGTGGAACAACACGCGCGAAGCGTGGCTTCGGCTCTCAACAAGAGCCTTACGATCGTGCGTTCGTGTGTGCATTCGGTAGTAGTCGGGTTTGCGTCAATGGTGGGGGTAAAAGAGGGCGGCACCTAACCAGTGATAGGCGTCGTTACAGGCCGGAACTACTTTCGTACGGCGTAGGTAGTTTCGCGCGGTGGCAACGCGGCATTTGTGACGAATTCAATTCTGATTGGTCCTTAAGCATAACCTCCTCCCTTACCACCTCGGTTAGTTCCCACTACTCTTACTCATTTTCTCTCTTCTTCTCTCGCGGCTCGCGATTTTCTTAGCTGCCGCGATTCCGCGTAATCTCGTCCTTTCGTTTCTTTTACATTTATTTCATACATAACTATATATAAATAAATATATTTTTATAAAATATATATTTTTTGTATCTTTCATTGTATTTTTTTTTATTTTAAATGTCTTTTTCGTTCAAGAAGAAACGAATTACGAATTTAATCTGGTGGCGGCACGTAGCGAAGTTAGTTGAACGCTCGTTCGAGGGCGCTGCGAGTGCAAAGGTGGAGAAGAGCGAGAGAGAGATATAGAGAGAAAGAGAGAGAGAGAAAGAGAGAAAAAGAGAGATGGATTACCAGTAGGAAAGAGCAAGTGTAGCGGGTGGTAGCGCGTGTAGGGAGAGGGTCGTTGGTGGTAGGAGTGGGGGTAGCTGCTGGGAGCGAGAGAAGTCGGTTATCGGCGGCAGAGCTGGCGGTGCCAGAATAGGATGAGGAGGAGGATGAAGAGGTGGAGGAGGAGGTTGTGGAGGAGGAGGAGGGGAAGGCGCGCGCGAAAGACGAGGAGGAGCTGTACTGGTGCGCTCCTCGTCGCCGCGGCGGCACGCAGGACCCCCGGAGAGGAAGAGCGCAGCGGCGGCGCGCGCTTGCGAGTGAGAGAGACGGTCGGAGAGAGAGGGAGAGCAAGAGAGAGAGAGAGAGAGAGAGAGAGAGAGAGAGAGAGAAACCAAGAGAAGGAACGAGGCGCGCGGTGAGGCGAGCAAGCAAGGGAACGAGCGAGCGAGCGAGCGAGCGAGAGATGGACGGCGGCGGTACAGAGTGGCGGTACACGGGGCGCGAGAAAAGCGGTAGTGTGCCGTGGACCACCGCACTGGCATACCGTGTTTCGTTACGACACTCTTCGATACGCTCTCCTACGTACTTGTACTACGTCGACTTTCAAACACTTTCCGAACACACACGGTGTCTCTTGTCTCTCCCTCGTATTCAGTCGATTTCGAATTGCGTCGTTACGACGACGAGTGCTAAGTGTAGTGTGCTGACATCATCGAGACTTACCTTACCGTTGTCGTTACTTATTAGCAACGTTTTTTTTTAAATAGAGACGTCGTTAAAAACTTTTCTCTTTTCGTCGCGTGCCACCATAAAGAGAAAGATTGACAGAAGGAGAGAGAGATAGAAAGAGAGAGAGAGAGAGAGAGAAAACGGCCACCATTGGCCACTAAATTTTATAGCCTCGTATTATTACCCTCCCCCCGCTTTATTGCGTCGTAACTATTAAACGATCATCCTTTCAAAGGTGTTCGAAAGCACAGATTGAGTTTAGCAAAATCGCTCGGCTCCTCGACCGACGCGATGACTATCGTTCGGCGTCGTTTACCGCCTACGGCTTACTGACGTTTCGCGCGACAAATACATCCCCTCTTTTTTCCTCGATGACTTTTACGAGACCCTAAAAGCAATTTAATGCTACTTCTCTCGTTTAACGTCGTCTCGACGTCGTCTTGTTTTTTGGCGCGAAACTGGCCGCAACGGGATATCTACCGATAGAGAAAGAAGGAGATAGAGAAAGAGAGAAATAAAAGATAGAGAGATTCTCAGACTTTGAATCGTCGTTTGAATCGGTAAAGAAAAAAACACTAGAGATAAAGTAACGAGCGAACGAGGGAGAGAAGTAGAGATTGGGAGAGGACAATTCTCCCGAGTGGCCGTGTTTAAGTGCAAGTGATTCAAAATACCCGGGATAATGAACTCGTACTTTGAGCAGAGCCCGGGTGGCTTCTACGGAAGCCATCATCATCAAACCGGTGCTGCGAGTCAGCATCACGATCCCGCGACAGCGGCAGCCTATCGAAGCTTTCCTCTTGGGTTAGGTATGTCACCGTACGCTTCCAGTCAGCATCATCATCACACGTCCGGTACTTTGGGTATACACCCAGGAGGTGGTAGCAACACGAGACCACCACAGGATTCGCCGTACGACGCGAGCGTCGCGACGGCTTGCAAGCTCTATTCGACGACGCCAGAGGCGACCGGACACACGACTTCCTCCTATTCGACGACAGCGAGCAAAGATTGCAAACAACAAGATCAAACGACGGCCCATCAGAATGGGTACGCCGCGGCGATGGCCGTGGCCGCCGTCAAGGACGTTTGGCAGTCGGCGACCTCTGCTACCAACGGTCAGACCAATTCGGTTGTACGTCCTTCCGCCTGCACGCCCGAGGGCACGAGGGTCGGTACCTACGGCGGCCTCGTGGGCGGCGATCCGGCATCGAGTCCCGGCAACAACGGCACCTCGAGGTCCCTCGCCTCCACCTGGAACACCTGCAGTCTCAACTCGACCGCGAGCCAACCGGTCGCCACGCAACTCCATCAGCAACCCGCCAATCATACCTTCTACCCATGGATGGCTATAGCAGGTGAGTCCCTCTCGTTGCCACCAATAGCCACGTGCTCATCCTTTGACCTCAGTCAACGACAAACGAATCCTTTCCATTCCCGTTTCCACAATAAAACGCTCTATGCGTGATGAAAATGGGACGAGATTTTTTCGCCAGCTCCATTTGTTCAACGTCGATTGAAATACGACGTGTCCGTCAACGAACGACATCACGATAACGAATTTATACCTACTGACTCCCGGGAAGGTTGCTGGAAATATAACTCGACTGTTGTTCTCCAGCAATATCACAAACTCAGCGACGACAAACACGTTCTTGCGTTACCTCGATAGAGAATGTTTCAACTCGTTTGCTAGAGTTGGATTCGTATTGATATCGCCATTAACTTTCTAACGTTGGGACCACAACGTTGCTTTTATATCTGAAAGTAGAATAAATTATTTTCTCATATAAATTTGAATCGTATATTAAATAGTTTAAATAGAATAAAAAAATATATACGAGTGGTTATTTAATATATATTAATTGTGACAACGTGACACAGATATAGTAAACAAGTAAAGAAAAATTGTTAAAGCATTTATTTCAACATGCCTTTTGGAATAAACTTTGATCGTACACCTCGGCTTTGTCCGCTAAGAGTCGGAGAAAAAGAAAAGAAATAAGGGAGAAAGTAGAAAATAGAAAGAAAATAGAAGAAAAAAATAGAAAAGAAAAGAAGAAATAGGTCGTGTAAACTATAGGAAGCTATATACATCCGGTAGATAGGTAGAATGGAGTCAAGTGCGTGTAAAATCGTTGGGTGCGCTGAGTAGAATGAGAGAAGGGGGAAAGGCCTGGTTCAGTCGGGGGTTCAAGTGCCTTCTCGTTGTCGTACTCACCCCTCCGGAACCCCGAATTCCGGTAGTCAGCTGTTTCTAACCGTGTCTTTGTCCCACTCTTGTGTTGAGAGCCTTTTTTGACGTAAAACATTCTCTTTCTCTTTCTCACTCGTATTTCTCTAGTCGTTAGTAAATATATAATAAACGTAGCTTCCAAAAGCTTCGTCTCATTTTTCGATCGCGACTCTTTCAACAGACCAGCTCTGGAGTCTCTCTCTTTCTTTTTTTCACTATATCTTTTTCTCAGTCTATCTATCTGCGGTCTCAACCCTCTCCATCGCACGATCTTCTCAGTCCGGTTTTAGGTCCGCCTACTTTTTTTCCTTTTTTTTCTTCCTCATCTTTCTCCGCGACCACAGAAAGATCCACCTCTCTTTATGCATACAAAGGTGTAAGGATTACTTTATGAGAATTCGTGACGTAGGAAACGGGCTTATTCAAGCTCGGAGAACGGTATTTTACTGAATGAATTCTGTTTTCATACCTTCTCGAGAATTACCGGGCTATCGAAAATGTGCTTCGGTTTGGATGTAGCTATATATATATATATATACATATACCTAGGATATATTAAGCGATGAAGTAAAACAACCCTTTGATCTTTTTCTCTCTTCATCTTCTTCTTCTTCTTCTTCCTTTTTCTTTTCCTTTACTTAAGAAGAAGGAGGCGTAGAACCAGGCCGAAAGTTAGTTAGTTCGTGAACTCTCATCGGTAGGGATGAACTCTCTTCTTCTTCTTCTCTCCCTCTCTCTTTCACTTTCTTATACTTGGAACAACTTGGAAAGGGTCGATGCGAGGGCCCTCGAAGAATGCACCGATCGTAGGTGGGATCGTAGGGAATGAGAAAAAGCAATTGATCGAGGTACATACTCTTTCTTTCTTTTTCTTTTTTTTTTCTTTCTCTTTTTTTTTCTCTCTCTCTCTCTCTCTCTCTTTCTATCTTCTCGCGCGAGAAACAGGTTTCATGTACTCGCGAATCGAAAGTCGTTGACTCATTTCGCACGACTCACCGCAAGAGGCAAGTGTTCGTTGGTTCTTCTCAGCCGGCGGTAGGTAGATAGGTAGGTATATGAGGCCGATAGGCCACTCGAACGCGAGCCTAGTGAAATTTATCGATACAGGATTGTGGATTATTTCGTCATATATTAAAGTCCGCGGCGCAGAGCAAATATAGAGCCATCAATGACCGCCGTCACTCGTTACCACGATCTACGATGAATAATTTTGCTTTATCGCGATGCCCGCACGATTCCAATCCATCCTTCCTTTCGACTACCGGCGTGCTGTTCTGCATTAATGTATCCCCTATGGAAAGCAGTGGCTTGTCTACAATGAAAAAGTAAGAGAGAGAGAGAGTGAGAGAGAGAGAGAGAGAGAGAGAAACAGAAGATAATCATGTTTTATGATGTCGTAAGAAGAAGGAAAGTTTATCTCGCTAGTATACCCTTTCTATTGTTTAATACTGTATAAGTATGTGAGAATTCCTAAGACACTATTCTTTTCCACTCACCCACTCGCAACGACATTATTTTTCGAGTCTATCGAGCGAATGACGTTAACGACGGACGAAAGGATTTCAATATGATAATCCTTTTAAAAATGATGTTTTCCTTAACACGCGATAAATATGTATAATACAAATATGTATATATATTTACTATTTACTTTTAAACGTGAACGTTGATACACTTTTCGAAAGTCTCGTGAAATCTGTTCAAGTAATTCACTCTCTTTCTTTGATCAATGAAACTTATCGATGAAACAAAATAGCAAATGTTTTGTCTAGACTTAACAAACGAAGAGAACGATTCTCCTTGACGTTCCTTTTCTCATTCGTGATTCGTTACGAGTGTAACGATCTCTCGCAAAGAGTATCGCTACGAGAATCTCTGTCTATCGTATAATTTATGATGTTTGGAATAGAGAGTATCTACCTATGTAAATGTGTATTCTAAACGTGTCGCGAATGATGTACGATCGATTATGCTTCGATGTTGGGCGATCGAATGGCTCAGAAAGCCGACGGCCAACATCGTCGCTTATATCGTTTAGTTTTGTGTGTCGGTAATGCAACGATGTAAACGGTAACGAGATCGGGCGCGCGAGACTCGATTAGTCATTAATAATCCGTGCACGGTGAAAGAACGAGACTAGAGAATGCAAGAGAGAGAGAGAGAGAGAGAGAGAGAGAGAGAGAGAGAACGATTGCACGCCGGAACCGTACTAATGACGCGTTTGCAATAAATACTCCTGCGAAATATCTTCTCGTCGAGCTTTTACTAAACGATTACTACCACCGACATTATCACGACCGCTTCATTTATAAACATTCGAGTTAGCATAATCATGAACACTTTTGTTACGACCTTATCTGGGAACATCTCGATAAAGATACCGTAGAACATTAAACTCGAGACTACTTTTCTTCTTGAATTCCGTTTAAATACGGGGAAAAGTGTGTGAGGGTAATTTTAATTATTATTATTATTATTGTTATTATTATTATTATTTTTTTTGTTATTTGATTTATCGTTTCTAGTAAATCTTTATTTGTATTTTTATGAGTAATCGATTTACGAAATTCTTTAGAGTTTTAAACGAGACAGAAAATACCTAAACAGCAGTGAGTTTTGTTCCTCTACCCGTAGATAAATTCATAGTCTTGCCACCCGCTAGGAGATACAAAGCTTTACTTTCTTTCACAGTGGATCACTTTCTCCTGCTTTCCCAAATGCTACCGAAATTTACGACCCTCTTCATTGAGGGTTCGCCGTGTCTATAGGGTAATTAGAGGGCGCGAAGGTGTAGGCTCGAATAGTATATATCCGAATGCCGCTTCGATTCACCCCCGTGGAAAAGTGGCTGTTTCGTTGGAGTGGTCCTTCGAGTATACCTTTTTAAAGGGACATTAAGGGTGGCCGATAACTCGAAAACGGGAAAGCAGACGTTTCTCGGTTTAGATTCTTAATTTTCCTTCAACGTTCATCGTTCTTTTTTTTTTTTACTCTTCCCCTCCCCCCATCCGATTAAACTCATAATTTAGAAAGATAGATAAGAATGATTCCTAAGAAATGTCTTTTGATTATTTATCTTTATTTCTCTTTATCTCAAAAGAAAAATTAGTTGGCTTTTGAAATGACTATACTTCTATACATAGAGTCTCAGCCCACGTGATTAGAATAACCAGTAGTATATATCACTCGTAGCATCGGTAGGAAAATTATACGATCGTGTTTTAGATTTAAATGAAGAAAGTAGGAAGAGAGAGAGAAAGAAATAAGAAAACGAAAGTGATTCACGTTTCTACGTCGTTGAAAGGCACAGAAACGTCGTCTAACGATCGTTCGGTTTGTAGAAGTAAAGGAGTAAGAGGTAAAAGACGGCTAGTCTTCCCGCGCGAAAGGATCCACGTGGATATCTGGAGTCTGGTAAGCGACGAGAAAGAGAAAGAGAAAGAGAAAGAGAAAGAGAAAGAGAAAGAGAAAGAGAAGAGAGTAGTTGGAAACGAGTATGCCGGCTCGGCAATAGGTGTTACGTACCTCGGGGAGCAAGCTCATTCAATATAAAGCAGCTACGAACAACGCTGTAACCGTAACGTTGACGTTTACGACGACGAAATCGTGGTTTTGCTCGTTTACCCCACCTCCTTTATGCGCCTCCACGTTTACCGCTATCGCCGTTTGCGAGACTTGCTTGCGAGCCAGCCGGTAATGCAGGACCCTACCCTACGGCACGCTCCTTCTTCCTTCGTTCCTTCTCTCCCACTCATCGACAAAGATCCTCTCTCCTTCCTTCCGTTTTCTTCGTGTGGGGTAAGAATGGTCCACCCGGTCAGAACTTCTTCGACCGAGACTCGTGTTCCGAGATACGATATACTTCGTGTGGAACGATCGTGTCGACGTAAAAGCGGATGGTGTTTCTCCATGAAAGAGAACGTCGATCGTCAAGCATATTTTTTTTCTTCTTTCTCTCTCTTTTATTTTTATCGTATTCGTCAATCTATCGAAGATTTATTATCCTTTTGTAACACTCGATCTACGAATTAGAAAGACGATATTACAAATTTTTATATAAAACTTATCGATGTAATAGCAAAGTTCATAAATATCTAATTAAAATCTGGCTCGACTTAAATC